ATTTGCACGATATTCTAATTTGTCGAGTTTCACCTGTATATATTCTTCTCTTGCATGCTAGGATTTGTTTCTCCCCTTCCCATTTTTGCCAAGTAGATTGGAGCTGTGAAGGTTTGTCTTTTTTCTTTCCTGTCCTGTTCTTTCTTTCCAGTCCAGCATGATTTGTTTCTTTTATAATTTTTGAGTCTAGTATAGAATTACATTTTGGACTCACCCCTTTGGTCCTTTTTTAGATTTCCCTTGAAACAGGCTGAATGGCTTCATGTAGACCTATCCTGCTGTGCATTCAATTTCAGATGTACCTTGCAGACTCAACTGATTATAATACTAAAAATAATTTATTAAATTTATATGCACCCTGACTGCTAGCGACTCTGGGAGCTTAATGAGTCTATACGTGATGCTTCAATAAATTTGTTCTGCATAACCCTTGATGGGGTATGTTGTATAGAAAAAAAATGGACAATGATTTTTTTTTTCTTAAATGAAGATGGAATTGAGAATATACTCTAGAGATTATGAGTGGTTTGGTTTTTGCAATGTTGGCAGTATTGGCCTTTTGACTGGTAATCCCCAGAGCTGAAGTTTGTGATAATTAGAGCTTTCTTCTATAGTTTTGCTAAAAAGCATGTTAAGTTAATCTTAATTTTTGCTCCATTTTAGCAATATTCTGACTGCTCTGTATTTCTTTTCCCAGGAGCAGATGTTCTATGTGAAAATGATGAGCCTATCTTAGCCCCCTCATCCCAACCAAGCAGTGATGTTGAGCTGGAGGAAGAGGAAAGGGTCACAGAACTGGGAGAGACTTGTGATGAACTGACTGAGCAAGGCCTGGATTGTATTGCTGAATTGGAGAACGAGCAGTCCAATGCACAGGAAACATATCAGGGCCGGGGACATACCGCATTTGATTTGACCTGTAGCCAGAAGGTAGGTAATGGCTGGAGGGGTGAGGAGATTCAGCCAGTGTGTTGGAGCAGTGAAGCAATTCAGTTACCACTCACATCTGTTAAGAACGTCTGATTGCTCTCCATGTGCTTTTTACATCACATTTATGGTGAGATGGACCCATGTACTGTTAGAGTTTCCCCATACAAGATATCCTCCTTTTAGCAGGCCTTATCTTGCTAAAGGGTAACCAGTAGGAATATTTAAGATCCACTTTCTTTCTTTGTAGGTAAGAGAGATACTACTACAAGCTTCAAAACAAGGTGTTGGAAGGAAGCAGGCTGGTACCTCTTCTGTGTCTAGGCAAGGTGGGTAAATCTGGCAGAATCCCACTACAAACTAATCAGCTTGCGTGACTTGATATGTACCAAGTCATTTTGGGTATCTACTTGCTTCTGGCTATGGAGAGGGCAGAGTGTTATTTTGGATATACAGTCAGGTCCAGAAATATTGGGACATCAACACAATTCTAACATCTTTGGCTCTATACACCACCACAATGGATTTGGAATGAAACAAACACAATGTGCGTTAACTGCAGACTGTCAGCTTTAATTTGAGGGTATGTACATCCAACTCAGGTGAACGTTGTAGGAATTACAAGAGTTTGCAAAAGTCCCGCGCGCCTGGTAAGGGACCAAGAGTGGTGGGACAATTGGCTTCTCAG